ACTTAACGTTTATTCTAGAAAAAGCTTGGGCAACTTTTAATCTTCTAACGTTTTATTTCATAATTTTCAAGTTTCTGTTTAAAATAGAATCCCTCGCCCATCTCCGCTGGAAGTCTTCTAAGGGTTGCATTTATTTCTCTGCTCGCAGCTGCGGACTACCGTCGCTGGTCCATTGTCCAGATTGTCGAGCACCCCGAGAATTGGCGTCGCAACCTACGAGAACCAAAGCTACTCAATGACTGGGAAGAAGGAGCGACAGGATAACCGAAAGAACAGGAGGAAGGAGTGCGCGAATCAAGGACAAAGAACTTGTGCGAGAATCGGCAACTGTCTCGTGCGTGTACTTGCCTGTGTCTTCGATTAAACGATCACGAAGAGAACCTAGAAGAAATAGAGAAAGTCCTGACTAACGTCCACGCGAAAACCGATTTGTTTTCTACAATTTTGTCGGAGTCATTGAAGAGATCATTTTCTTTATAGAAAGGATATTAAAATATTTATATGTTAACTTTCCTTTTGACGAACTGTCGACACGTAAGACAATAGAGCTGCAAGAGGCTGAGACGTTTACTTATATACTAATTTTATAATGCCTTTTTTTTTTTTTTTTTTGAAAGACCAAGAGCTTTCGTATACGACGTTCCTCCTTGCGCGAAGATGTTTCTCAGAGAAGAACAGATTCTTTTTATTTTGTTTGAAGAGCTTTTTTTTAGAGTGTTTCCACGTTTACCAAGCCATTTATTTTTATCGCTGTTATCGATCCTTTCAATCACTATGGAGTAATCGACTGAAATTCAATCTATTTCAAAGCCAAAGAAATTCAACTACAATGAAAACAGTTATTTTTACACGAACTATTTTGATAAAATTTTAGACATAGAAAAGTTCGTGGTTTGTTAGATTTTATGAAATTTTTAGACAAATTTTACTGTGGAAAATGTATTATTTGGAAGGCTGGTAATTATTCTTAATTGTGGCTACCCCGATGACTATAAAATCGAGGAGTAATCACGAATGTTGACAATTATCAAACTAGGCGATACTGAAAACGCTTTTCAAGTATTGTTTCCACGAGGAACGTTTCGAGTATTTATAATTCTATACGTTAACCGAAGACTAAACATTTCCCACCGGCTGAGACTCCATTTTTGTAATCTTCACCTGTATTTATATCGACAAAATGGCGTCCAACTCAGATGGAATTGTTAGTTCCTCGTCTCTACTATATAGCACGTATTCTGTTATACGTTACTGCGGTTTATTCGCTATCTTCGTTGTGTTCATAGTTGCTGTTCAGAGTATATAGCGTTTAAATTATGAGTTATAGCGTGGAACCATGGCTGGTCCGTGTTGTTGTGCGACGTTTCAACAACGAAGACTTTTCGCTTGCAAAACTTTTCTAATTTGAGACTTTGTTTGACTTTGTTTGAAGCACTAATCCTTTGCGCTCGATATTTTCGCTAGAACGAGTTAACTCGAGTTTTTAGAAGAACTTCTTACAGAAGATTTTCATAGTCTACTCATGGTTTACTCTAATGTCATACATAACTGCGTAGGCATGATCTATCGTTACCATTATATGTTAGTCATTAATCTCGTGTTGCTATTTGATCGATTAAATTTTATTCGTCGCGATGTTGGTCTCAATTTATGTTTAAGAGCGAATGTTACTCTAATAAGTGCCGCTGAGTCTATTGTGTGTTAATGGTTATGTATAAGTTTGTCGATGATCGATTAAAAATTGATTGACTATTGAAACTAAAAGTAAACCAATTATTTGGCGCATTGTTTTTAGATTAAACGCGAATTAAAGTAAATTCGTTGATCCATAGCATGCATTTTGTGATAAACAATTGCACGAACATTACTGAAAAACAAAGATAAAGCTTGCAAATGTAATAACAAATTATAATGCAAATAAACTGAGGAAAAATGAACCGATATTGGATTATTGATTGGACACCAGCATTCCAGTGAGGTAACAAATGGAACGAAATTGATTATATTACATTTATTTTTCTAACCGAGATCACTACTTTCAATGCCATTTATTTGTACTTATTGATATTTATTTAATTAATTTAAATAAAATTCATTTTTTTTTTAAATTGATAGTATCGCCATCTAGCGGTAAGAAGTCGGAACTAAAATTCCGACCTTTGGTCAGCGCCTCTATCAGGAAAACGCTCAAGCTTGTCCTCGAATAGTTCACCCTTTCACCGTTAGATGGCGCCATTTGTTCAAACCCATTTTTAAAAATATTGGTATATACTTTCAAAAATCATTTCAGTTAGTTAATTTATTGGAAAAATACGGTTGCTAAAATTTTGCGGGTCTATCTTCACTTTTTATAGTTCGAAATACCAAATGGCGCCTGCTAGCACTAAAAAGAGGAACTATTCGAGGACAAACTTGAGCGTTTTCCCGAGAGAGGCGCTGACCAAAGGTCGGAATTTTAGTTCTAACCTTTTACCGCTAGATGGCGATACCACAAATTTAAAAAAAAATGTATCTTATTTAAATTAATTAAATAAACATCAATAAGAACAAATAAATGACATTGAAAGTAGTGATCTCGGTTAGAAAAAAAATATAATCAATTTTGTTCCACTTGTTGCTCCACTGGAACGCTGATGTCCAACCAATCCAATCACCCCGTTGCCAGCATAAATTAGTAATTAATAGAAGTAATTCTTCCTAATATGTGTTCATTCTTACACTATTTTTTTATATACGTTTATTGTTACTATCGTTTTATTTATTAAAAAAAAATCCGCAATGAGAAAAAAAACCTAAGGTCCCACCGAGATTTGAACTCGGATCGCTGGATTCAGAGTCCAGAGTGCTAACCATTACACCATAGGACCTTGTAGAAATTATTGTAATATAAAGTATTTAAACGTATTGTATTTATAATAATAAAATATATAATTACTAAGTTAATACTGTATATTTGGATAAATTGTAAATAAAATTGAGTTTAGAATAAATTGTGAATGAAATAGGAGCTATATTTTTACAACTATGTATGATGATTTTTTTCGTTTACATACAATAAAAAACTTAAAAATAACCATTCGTAAATATTAAAAAAACTTAAATGAATCAGTGTTAATTGCTTGCTGTTTTGCTATCAGTCTCTTCTAACAAATTTTCATTCTGTTTTGACTGTTTCTCATTGACTTTTGAATCTTTCTTGTTATCTTTGGAATCTTCCTTGTCATCTTTGGTATCTTCCTTGTCATCTTTGGAATCTTTCTTGTTATCTTTGGAATCTTCCTCGTTAACTTTAGAATTTTCATTTTCTTCAGAACTTATTTTCTGAAAATATGAATTATATGCCTTATTGCATATTAATTTTGACAGGAAAAAGTGACACATGAAATATTATTTGTCCTTACCTTAGTATTGTTAGCAGATTCCTTAATGTTGCATATTTCAAGTAAATTATATTTTTTAAATTTGTAATAGTTTGGAGCAACAGATATAAGACAGACGCCACGTATTACTTCCACTATCACAGCAAGTTCTGGATTCTTTAAATCTGCTTTATTTCCAGGATTTTTCTTATTTATTATTTCTGCTAAATCTTCAATAACCTCCTCTCTAAGTATGTTACTGTTGCTATGACGACTATAATTGAATTAGATAATTATATATTTATATATATTTGTACAACACATAAATAACAAACTTTAAACAAAATAATGAAAAACTGACTTAAATACAATACTGAAGGTTTTTGGTTCTTGTGCAAAATACTTTTCTAGTATGACATCTGCTTTCTGTTTTATATCACTCATGTATGCTTTGCATACAACTTCAATTGGAAGTAATCTTAGTAAAAATCTTGTACGTTGTTGTTTAGTTTTGTCCAATTCTGTAACTATTTTAGTGACTAGTTCCAAAGGATTTGACAATGTAGTTCTTATAAAAATTACATTCTTCGCACCAGTATCAACTACCTAATAAAAAGATTCCAAGTACAGAATAATTCTTGTTACATTTAAAATATCAAAGTATTCTCTAAACTCCTATGTAAAAATTCACCTGAAATCGTCTAGCAGCCACTGGTTTGGTATATTCTGCCTTTAATTCATTAATTTCTTTATTTAAAGCAGTTGATATATCTTCTTCTGTTTCGCTAACAGAATCATCTTGTGTTGTTTCCGACACTTCGGTATTAACATTATCAGAGTCCTTGAATTAAAAATAATTTGATGTCCTTACTTCTCATTGAATGCCCAAGTCATTTTTTCAATTCCACTGTACCTTTGGGGCATTCGATCCATAAATCTCATCAGCAAACTCATTCAATAATTTATAAGCGTCGCGTATGCAATCTTTCTCACGAAAATTGCACGTGCATAAGAAACCCATCATACCTGGTTCCAAACTGAATTGTTTACGCTTTTTTTGGTTATTTCCGTTCTTTTGAAAAAAGTTCTTCTTCCTTTTCTGTAGATCCATTTTTATTACGAAGTCCTAAGTCTACTATAATTGTAAAAAAGATACGAATCGATGTATTTTATTTCTACAAGATTTAAAGACAAATGTTTACGAAGATTCTTAATTTCATTTGACGCTATAAATATTACGAAGAACCATATGACTGCATGTGGCTGCTTGTGGCTATGGATAAACAATATTTACCTTTGAAATATAATATTGTAAATTATAATATTGTAAATAGCTGTAATTTTCAATAGTGTAAGACTCTGGGTGAAAGGAACAATAATTATTAATGGTACAAGGGTCGCCACAATATCCCACAATACTGAGAGCAGCCACGTTATTTACATCAGTTACGATCAGGGACGCCAAAAATCTTCTCCACTTTTTTCCGTAGTAGTCTGTTTGATTGTTTTGTACCCACGTGAACCAGAGATTGTAACTGTATCAAACTACTGTGATTATACTGTACATTTACAGTTATAAAATTAAATAACTAGGTAAAACTAGATAGTAATTTTATATTTGTGGGGGAAGTTTCGATTATAAATGAAACACATTGTCTACCTTTTATAATGTTAGTATTCAATACAAGTAAACAAATTTTTTTATTACAATAAATAAATTTATTATCAAATTTTATGTAGAAATATGCTACAATTTAAAAAAGGTCTTCCATCAGTACTCTTCGACGAACAGCATTGCTGAATCCTTCTTTATATTTATACCACACGCCATGTTTTGTTAAAAAGTCACGCGAATCATCGATTTCATTTCCCGATTTTTTATTTTCATTTACCGTAATAACTCTTCCAAAAAAATCTTTATATACCTGTAATTTGTATTATCGTTATTATTAAGACCTTTATAGTAAAATTAAACAAATATATTCAACTCACAAGTTCTTTTACTTCCGGTTTTTTTGTTTCAGAATTTTCACTAGAATTAAGTATGTTGGACGTTTTGGTATTGTCTATCGATTCTTTTTCCTTTGGCTTTGTATGAATTTTTGATTCAGTTGATTTTGTTTCGGTATCATTTTTTGTATTACCATCGTCTTTTTTCTGCGTGACATTTTTTGTGTTATTTATTACATTTACAGATCGCCGTAACCGTTCAGCTTCCAATTCTTGAATAATTATTTGTTTCACGGCGTATGTTAACATACGGTGATGTTTACATTCAGGAAAAATACCAACTTCAAATATGTTACTGAAAGAAATAAAGATGAAGAGTTTGATTTTCACTTAACGTTTTAATGTGTTTAGTAGCTTACGGATCAAGTTTGTAGTCGTAACTTCCGTCAAGGCATTTTTCTTGCGTAAACGTGAGACCATATTCAATCAGAATATTCACTAATCGAGCAATATCGTCTCTTTCTTTAGCAGAATGTAAGTGTCCAGAAACTGTTCGCAACCGCGGAGACAAAAGGTCTGGTAGAAATGGAGCAATATCGACAGTCAACGTTATAGTGTCGCGACCGCTACTTCGATGAATAGCTGTTAGAATTCCTCTGCTTCTTTCTTGTTTTTGTCTTATCTATAAAAATTGAAAGTTTTTAATTAATATAATCGCTCTTTTATTTCCAATACATATTAATTTTCATTCTCACTTCAAATGTAATGGTGGGATACGATAGCTTAGCGTGTTTTGCTTTGGCAAAATTTAAGTGCCATGCGATAAATGCGTAATTCGTATAAGGCATGACAGACCAAACATTAAAACTTGCAACGAATGATAAAATTTCGTCAAAAAATTGAAACCATTCTAAAGAAAAAATGATGTAATTCAACTTTTCATTACAAATTTCCGGATAGTTATGGAATATGCCTTGTGCTAATTTTTCCGATTCGCCTGAAATAAAAAATAAACTGTTATCAACAATCTCGAACATTTATAACATTTGTCATTATTACTGATATCACTTAGTTTTACCATGTTGTACAGTTTTCAGTACCATACGAACTCTTTCAGGGATAGGAAGTATTCCGCTTCTGTTCATAGGTATCGTGAATATTTGTTTCCAAGAATCAAATAATCCTTTACGGGTGTCTTTTAATGCAAACGATAAATTATCTCCTAAATTGGCACCACCCATATATTGCAGTGCACCCAAACATGACCTAACGTCGCAACCGGATATTTCTGCTAATCTTAAGAGAGCATCAGCATTTACTTTTAAATTTTCCTTTTGCGATATTTCCATTAATCTATCTGCTAATCTTGCAGGACTTACTTCTGGTACCGGTATAATGAGTGCAGCCATTCTAAGAGCTCTATGATATGAAATAAATTCAATACGTATCCTTAAGCATATGTTACAAATGTACTTGTAAATTAAGAAATAAATTTACCTTAGAGAAGGAGTATATGGTTCGTTACAAATGCATATAACAGGACGATGACAAGTATTTGCTTGTTTATTACCTTTTCCCTTATCCTTTTTTCCTTTTGGAATTAGTTTACCCTGTACAAATTTGAGCAAGAGGTCGATTGATGCTGCTGGTGCACCATCAATTTCATCTAAAATTAGACAATTCGGCCGTGGGTCACTGCCCATTACAGCTTTCATTTGCGTTGATGCAAGCAGGACTTGTCTACGTTTAACGATATACATTACTAATCTCATTCGCTTATTAATATTTGTTGCAAGTTTTTGTATTACCTGAAAGCGTCTGGACTTCTTTCGTCGCTTGCATTGATTTCAACCACGTTATAACCAGCATGCTTAGCTGCTAAATGAGCTAATGTAGTTTTTCCTAATCCAGGCGGCCCGCTAAGCAATACTATTCTCTGGATTGGAAAACCTTTGCCATCTACTTCTTCGATATCTTTTTCAGTTGTAAATTTTTCACTCATAAATCTTTTATTTTTAAATGTTGAATAATTTTTTTTTTTTTTACTTTGGACATAATTTCGGTTAAACACCACCTTATCCCACAGTTTTATCCAGTGTAATAAATTCCTATTAACGCTTTCATCCGAGAGTAATTCTAGGTAAGATCTAGGCCGATACTTATCGACCCATAGCTCACCAACGTTATTCTGCACGAGTTCCGGCGCAGACGGATCAGAATTTTCACGACTGGCACGTTTACCATTTTGTATCATCTGCAAAATTGTATTAAAATTTTTTTATATCAAAACTGATAAAATTATAGACTATACGAAACAATATATATCATTGATTCACCTACAATTTCTTCAGCTTCAACCTTCAGTTGATTATAAGGTACAGATAATAGATTGGAAAATGATTGTGTATTCGTTTTTGCAGTGTAGTCTTTGTCATTCTGCATTCTAATATATATACGCTGCGCATCATGTGGCCTAGTTACAGCTACAAAATTCCAACGCGGAACTCGCAAAGATATCGAATCTTTCTTCCTGAATAAAATTATTGACCAATTAAAGATATTATACTTTTTTGAATATAATATTTAAAGTACGTTATATACTCTTCAAAATGTTTGTTTTTAATAGAAACTCCATTATTCTGTTCATGGAATCTATCTCTGGCATCTAATACTGTTTTAATAATATCGTCAGGACAATCCCATCGTGGTTTTTTGTCTTTTGGTTCTGCAGTATCAACTGTACATAACAATAAATAAAAATATTATCATTATTAAAGCTTAAACAAATATACTTGCAAAACATAGAAATAGTATAAATTACATACCAAAACCGTTTACATCTAATAAATCTGAAATATCCCCAAACAGTTCATCGTAAGTCCGTTTTTTTGTGTTGTCTACTTCAGAGTTATGGCTATGTTCAATTCCTTTACTAGTGCTTGGAATATTTCCATAGTCATATTTATTAGACACAGGAGTATTTAATTCTATGTGTGTACTAGGCGTAGATTTATTTAATTCTTTATATACATTAAAAGGAGATGCATTGAATTCCTCAGATCCACTGGGTTTTGGTGCATTCGATTCTTTACTGTCTTCAGCTTTATCATGAGATTGTGCGAGTTTTTTTCTTTCCAGTTCTAGAATAGATTAATATTAAATGTAAATACATGTTCTGAAACAACTTATATTAAGAGGTTATAGTTTATTTACCTTCTATTTCTCTCAAAACTTCATACTCGTCTTCGTGATCTAAATCAAATTCTTCGTCCGGATCAGGGAACTCGGGATCCATAATTAAAATTGATTTTTAATACTCTATAATTACGAACAGTTGAAGTAAACACAAACAGCTATCCAGACCCATTCAGAACCTGCCGCTCTGTAGCGGGTTTTGTGGTGGCACCAGGTGCCACCAGGTGGCACTTGCTGTCCTCAGCACTCAATTATCAAAAACCCTTCTATGTGTCATCACGGTTATTTTCTATTCATTTAGAGCAAAAAAGGGCACATTTTATTTAAAACAAATATAACAAACGAAAAAGATAGATATTTCAAATAAAAAACAAATAAGTAATACTTGCTCAGCGTAGTAGTTAGCTATCACGCTGACAAACCGCCAAAGTTCAGGTGATAAGCCACTGCTGAGTCGATAAAAAAATAACCGTTTACCAGGTGATAGCCGCAAATCTGTGGGGTTACACATATATATCGACTCACACATGTATCACACTCCACCCATGATAGAGACGCTAATTATACAGGGTGTCCCAAAAATGTTGTAACACTTTGAAATGGGTGGTTCGGGAGGTGATTTAAAACAACCTTTTCCTTAGCGAAAATGTTGTCCGAGGCTTCGTTGAGGAGATATTAAGCGAAAACCCTGACCAATCAAAGCGCGCGTATACCGTTGGAGCGCCCGCGGTAACGTATGAGCGCGACCGCCTATCGCGTAGCTTAACACTCAACCGGCATACTCGCGCTCTGATTGGTCAGTGTTTTCCGTTAATATCTCCTCAACGAAGCCTCGAACAACATTTTTGCTAAGGAAAAAGTTGTTTGAAATCACCTCCTAAACCACCCCTTTCAAGGTGTTACAACATTTTTGGGGCACCCTGTACTCCAATAAAAAACAGAACAGAACAAAAAATAGGGTGGTATGTTCACCGCTAGATGGGGTACCATTCCAACGGGAAATTTGAATTTCTTTTTATTTATTTAAAGTTTTTTAGAAGCATTTGTACTATCGAATAGTTTAAGAGTCTTTTTCGTATAAATTAATACGTTAATCAATTTATTTTTCACTAGCGATCTGTTCCGGCTGCGTCTGAGAGCAATTTTGAATTTTCTACCAGTTTTTTTAACCGAGTTCTTATCCTTCTTACACACGACATTGGTCGTTTTTTTTCTCTTGACGTCAACACGAACAAATTTTGTTTTGACGTGGAACGCGAAAGGATCACGTAATGATGTCCATGAGAAAAACATTCTCCGCCAGAAACTTTATTATACTATGTCGAGGTTGTTACACGTAAGTAGGAATACGTACACTGTATGTACATATTTAGGTATACGTATCGTTAATATCGTTATGGAAGCATGCGACAAAAAACGATACAGTAGGGAATAATGTTTAGTCAGATATTACTTTCAGCATTTTTATCGTTTAATTTTGTTAATACACTAACAGCCCGACACTTTCTAGACTTTATAGTTTCGCGAAGAAGATTATATCTAAATATTCAACTATAAGGTGAACGAACGAAAATTTGTCGCTATCAAAAGAAATTGAATGCGAGTCGCAAGATAATCGCACTTTCTTTGAACAAAAAAAAAAAGGAAAAAAAATAGACAAAAACATAAAAAGCCTAAGAATAAAAATTCGGGCTCTTCTTTGGTGAATCTTAATCTTGTGTTTTATTATTTCTCGGTTACGGCTTATCGAATTACAATTTGTAAAAATATCATACTGTACCAAAACTGCTATGTACCTTTAGTTTTGTTTTTTTTTTTTACATTCCTCTATTTATATTTATATTAATAATTCCACCTAGTGGCAGTAAGGAGAACGTTATAATCTAACTTCGAAAACTTGCATATTTTTTTTTCTCCTAGCTCTCGTAAAAAAAATGATGCATTTCGTCATCATTGCAAAGAGGAACACGCAGCTAAGTAAAAATTTCCTTACATGTGAAGTGCGCGGCAAAATGTATGGTACAAGTAATGGTATGTGCGCCTTTCAGACGATGAAAGTATACGGCTAGTAAAACCAAATTATTTACATTATATTCCGATAATTTTGCTTCAACGATCCGCATTTTCCGTATTTTTTTTGTATTTTCTATTCTTTTAATTTTAGGCTCTTCTCCTAATATAAATTATATCAATTGCATTATATAAAAAGGCAATCGCTCCTTGGTGCACGCAATAACAAATAGAATTATAGTTGAGATCAATATTGCAATATATCATTCCACCTATTATTTTTTTTCTTTTTAAATAATTTCCTCGTTTGTACTGATACGTCTCGCAATTAATCGGCGCTACAGATATTCAAAGATTAATAGTTCAGTTCAACTTAATATTTTTTGTTCTTTTTACATATTTCGTCAGTCTTGTGCGCGTATTGTTTTTTTTTTTTATCGTCATTTTGAACCGTTGAAGCAATTACGTTTCACGTAATTGTAACTGAAATGTTACGTAGATTATTCGCTCTTTTTATCTCTCACGTTATTTACACTAGAAGACTCACAGGTGTATGTGCCTTTGTAATATTCGTGAATGCCGGTCAGGAAATGTATCGTCGTGCTCTCCTGCGAATATGGAAGCACGAAAATCATCTAAAGAACAACGGTTAATCCAGATTATCAGGAATACACTTTCTAAAATCTTAATTTACAATGGATAATCTGAAGTAACCCTTTCTAGCCGACTACTAAGAAAAATAAATAGTATACCTCGTACGTTATCATTCTGGAACTTCGATCGAACTACGACAGTATAATAGAAAAAAAATTCTATTGTCTCCCAACTAGACTATAAAAATCGTTAACCATGACTGTTCCTTCATCGGTTTCGCGTAAGATATTTAAAGTATTCAAGTGGAATCAAAAATGATTTCTATGATCGTATGTAAACCGCTAAGAGTGAACGCAAGACATTCAAAAATCGGCAAAAAATTGAAGCTGATACAATGTAGACTGCATGTAGACAATCTAAACTGATTGCGCTAAGGATCAAATCTAAACGCAATAAACGATACATACGCATACTTAGCTACTGAAATATACGTAAATCAATCTCCGTTGCATTAGTAGGCATATACATGATTTTTCGTAACTTTTCACTAAAGATTTCTGTCGGACACGCGTAAATGTTAAAAAACACTCACGTAATGAGCAAGTTAGGAAATATCGATATCTTTTCAATTATTACTCTGTACGATAATAGGCACCCACGTACATCTGCAGCAAATTCTTTTACATTATAAATCAGGTACACGCTTTGAATTTTCTTTTTTTTTTTCTTTTTCTTCAATTGATTATACGCGAAGCACACTTTTTGTCTGAACATTAGCAAAAAAAACTGCACCAATTCCGAAGAGGAAATATAAATAATTAAATTAACATCATTCGAAAAAATATCCGTAATTCTTACTTTTGTAAATATTTCTTTAATAAAAAACGTAACAGCTAATTCTTTTATAAACACTGAAAATGTAGATTACAACATAATATACTGATAACAATTCCATCGTAAGGTGGAGAGTAGTTATATTTTGTTGTACCAACATTGAAATTATCACTATTTAGTATTTTTTATGTGTAAGGTATTGTACAAATTATTCCATACTTTTTGGACAGTGTGCTCTCACGGTATATTATTACATTATAATTTGCAAAAATACGATTTACTATGATAACAAAACCTGCACTCTTTACACTAGCGCTACAGTGTCCAAAAGTATAGGTCAAGTGTTACAATGCAGCGGGCATATACATAAATGACAATGTACACTCATTCATTCTGCATATACATACATGCACCATATAACAACATTTATATATGGCCATACGATCATTCTTGCCATAAACAGACTACCCAAGACTGAACCATCAGGCATGTGCTCATACACATTGCTCTTTCTCACTGATGTAATTTTGTGTTGAAAAATAAAGAACAATCTATTATATTACATTTAAAAAACTTTCAGTCATTTACAGTAGGGAAGCTTATCGACATGGTAGAAATAATCTTATTTTGAATGTATGTGGAATCCCGACGTGATTCGCAATGAACTTCATTGTATGCAACTTATGAAACACTGTACAGTGCAATGTACACTAATGTTACATGATCCATCAAGGTCCATTGAGGCCAGCTCACACAAGACCATGTCGGTAGGGCGCCAGATATCGGGCGGGTCACTCAAGTTCCTGCCCTTCACAGAACATCACTTCAAGTACGATTTATACAACATCGTGCTCCTACACGTTTCTTTCTCTTGTTCGAGAAGGAACAATAAGTCTCTGAAATTCACCCGCTTCAACCGTGGCCTCATTGGCATTTGTCGGTTGATTCCGGTTGATGAAGTATTCAAACCGGAATTACTTCCTGGACTACTGGCAGACCCTCCTACGTCGAGTTTAGGCTTTTTACGGGGACCGATTGCTTGTAAAGCTGTCAAATTAGCTTCTCTTTGCCTTAATTCTTCCATTTCCGCGCGTTGCATCTAGACAATTTCAAGCATTACAATCATCTCTACTTGTATACCAGAATATTTTTAATTCGTGAATTCGCAAAAATACCTCTTTTGCCTTTGCTTTAAGCTTGGCTTGCTCAGGGTCTTCCGTTTTCGCACGACTTTTTGCAGCGCGTAAAAGTAATTCCCTTTCTTGCTCTTCGTGTCGTCTACGTTCAACCTTGTCCAAGTCTTCCAAGAATTTTAACTGTGCCCTAACATCCTGCGTTACCTCGTAACGCGGATCCACCTATAAAGAATACATGTTATTCATTTTTTACACATATTCAACTCGTAACTTTATTTAAAAAATCTATTTGGTGATTATAACAGAATTAATGTTAAATTTGATTTTTGATTAACTGAAATTATTGCAATATTTAAACTTTACCTTTATCAAATCTATCCTGTGTTCTGCAATTACTGCTAATTTTTCTACTAAATTCTTTAACCTCTCTTGCGCAGCATGTGAAATTAACGCCGCAACTTCTTGATTAGGTTCTTCTAATCCGTAATTAGAAACTAAAAAGTAGCGTGTGAAATATAAGTATACTAATAAAATATATCATACACTTAAGTTAAAAGATTAATATAAATAATTACCAATTTGTTTAATCCTTTGCTGCAATGGTGTCATATGTAAGAATACTTCATCTTTGCAAGATCTTAT